AGAGGGTTACATAGAGAAAGGCCTAGAGCAGAAAGTCTACAAACTGTAGAGATCCATTTATGGATTGAAGCAAACTTCTAGATCATGAAATATCAGGTTTGATGAGGCTATTAAGTCTTATGGATTTGATCAAAACCAAGATGTTTCGAACAAAAGAAAAGAAGACGTTCTTATTCTTTACAAGCCCGAATATATGATATTCAGTAGGAGTAGTTAGTCATTGTCAGTTGAACTCAAGATTCGATCATTGGGTAGCCGTGTAGTGTATCCTTAAGTATATAAGGAAAATAAAGAAACTATAAGATAGTTTAGTCAGTGAAAGAATTGTCTTTCACTGGATACATAGACTTTGACTATGAGTCATACGTGGATTTTGAGAGTCAACATCCAAGTCTGTGTTCACACTAGGTGAAGTAGTCATGACAAGAAAGGTTGTTGGCAAAGTGTAATTGCTAATTCTATCATTAAGAGTTAATGTGTAGCAGCTTGTGAAGCAGCAAAAGAAAGCAACATGACTCTAGAAATTCTTAACTGATCTGGAAGTTTTCCAGACATATATACCTAGAAAGTTTCAGGATTGGAGACATATTCTACCAGCTTTAGGACAAGTGGGAGATTGTTGGGAATGGTGTCCAAGAAGCATAAAATGTAATAGGATATTTATTATTTATTTAATAAAAGAGTTTATTCATTATTTTATGTGCATATATTTATGAATATTTTATGAATATCAATAAAAATTCTATGATTATTTATGTAACCTTAAACATTGTATATAAGTGTTATATACGAGAGGATAATGTTTAAGGATAATAATCAAAAAGCAATGTTCATAATGAATTTAATTAAAGTTCAGAATCTTTAATTAAAACATTATTGATACATGTCATTCGCATTGAGAATGGAACGATGTTATCCGCACTGTTAATATTGTGAGATATTGAATGAGTGTATTTCGCATAATGAGATTATGTGGAACAAGGACATAGACACAATATGAATTTCTAATAATTTCGTTAAGTATAGAAATTCTAATTGAGTCTACCGATGGTCATATATAGGATGATCTTAATCCTGAGTTCTAACAGACTCCTATTTATGGATTTGTGTCTTTTGATTTACTCAGTA